GTTGGGCGTATCGGGGACTTTGAATTTTGAATATTGCCCCCCCTCCCCCCCCACCACCGGAAAATCCTGGCTACGCCCCTACTGCACAAGGTACCACTCACTGCACGTTAATTCAACATTTTGATTTCAAAGTACAAAAAATAAGAATTTTGAGTCATAAGTCAAAGATAGCCAACACCAATCTGTAGATGTATAGTTATTTAATTTGATGTTAATTAACCTGTTGTGTTTTTCCCCACAGGTTTTTGTAATTTTGGCCGAGGATTTTGCAACTGGGAGAATGATGTTGATGATTACTGCGACTTTTACAGGCAACGTGGACCAACTGCCACTCTAAACACTGGACCTTATAAAGACTTCTCTGGAGATGGTAAGGACRCATACTCCTTATATCTAAACAACTTCGATCAGTGTTTGGACTCTAACGTGGAAAGTTTTGCCCAAAAAGCTAATTTCGTGCCCCTAATAACTGAAGAATTCGTGAGAAATAGTCCGTTTGCATGATGGCGTCATTTGACTCCCACTACCATAATGCTTCGCGAATTTTCTTTCTTATTTAAATTTGTATTCCCTCATGAGAATAGTAAGACGATTGATGCTAATTAACTGAACAAAAGAAAGTGTGCAAGGGATTCTGGTAGTGGTGGTAAATGACGCGGCATAATGCAAGTGTCTTATTCTGAAGAATTTTACTTATCTGTCTTTCGTTCTTGCTCTAGGTTACTACATTTACCTTGAAGCCTCCAGCAGACGCCCCGGTGAATTTGCCAGGCTGGTCAGCGGTTCGATAAAGGACACCAAGTGCTTAAAGTTTTATTACAACATGCACGGAGAAGGAGTTGGAGATCTTAGGGTCGATCTGAGGGAAAGTGAAAACTTCATTTGGAATACCACGTGGTCTGTGTCTGGTGACCAAGGCTTAAATTGGAATCCAATCGCTTTGACGATTTCTGGAAAAGACTATGTAGTGAGTATCCGTTGTACCTCCTATGGTAGTTTGGAAATGTGGATTTTCTCTCCTAACTTCTAAATCCCAGTACGATCATGGATTTTCTCTCTTGACTTCTAAATTCCAGTTCGATCATGGAACGAGGGCCAYAGATATGTTAGCCACTGGCTTTTAAGTGTTTTTTTATTAATTTATTTATCTAATACRTTTACTGCCTAGTGTGCAGGTCTAAAACGTTTATTGGGTACCCTGTGGTATTGATTTAATCACGCAATGTTTTACACTCAACAACAGATTGGCATTACTGCAGTTCGAGGACGCAATTTCATTGGAGATATTGCAATAGATAGCATTGCGTTAACGCCAGGACCTTGTTTTGATAACGAACTTGAAGTTGGTGCAGCCCAGTCAGCTAAGCTCGGTAAGTAGCGTTATCGCAGCCTGTATGGAGTATATCTTGAATAGGTATAAAAAGTGAGCCACGAGTTAGAAACCAAGGGTGGTGTACCAGTAGTTCACTCTTCTCTCTGACGTCTCTGGGGTCTAGGGTTCGATTCATTGGACTAGTACTCGGCCAATCACATGGGAGTAGAGCTTGTTGGGTCTCTTTCTTGATTCAAGGCTTTTCTCCAGGTTCTCCGTTTTACTCTCCCACAAAATCTAACAGACTACAAGGGAAGCTCCAGGATTTTATTGAGGGGGGGGGGGGGTTCCAAAACCCTCAGTCAACAAATGACGTCGCTTTTGACGTCATACATACGCTATATCAGGCGTAACACTTACGCATGGCTACTGGTATAAAAGACGTAATAAAATAAATAAAATAAATAAATGGGATTTAGCAGTGGCATTTCTACAGAGTAGCTATTCATCCACTGTAATTCCAATTRGAATTTAGGAGTTGATTTTTGCGGAGGGAGGAAAGCCGGAGAATCCAGAAAACCCTCGATGCACAGGAGAAAACCAACAAACAACTCTACTCACATGCGACACCGAGCTCAGTGGGACTCGAACTCGAATACTTATGACTTTCAATAGAAAAGGTTTACGATATCATGGTGTTAAGATTCTCTGTAACATAACGTATGTTAAAAAAGGGGAAACATCGAGTTGCAAAGGGGGTGGGGGTCCGGATGCCCAGTTCGCCTAACCCTGACCTCGATCAGTCCAGGGGCTGTTTCAGGGTAACAGCGTTTCTTTTATAAAATCAAAATGCTGACCATCATGCATCACTACCATCGTCAGCCTCTTATATTAATTAGGTCTTCAATTTTTTTTCTAGTTGATTGTACCTTTGACAAGAGAGACATGTGTGATTGGAGGAACGAAAAGTCAGATGATTTTGACTGGACTATACAGAGAGGAAGAACACCAACGGGAAACACAGGGCCAGGAAGAGATCGTAGTGGCAATGGTACGTATAAAAAATTCCCCTTAGTTACATCGCTGGATACAGGGGACAGGGTCCCTTCTCTATAGAGCTGTTAAGTGTGGCAATGGTACGTATAAACAATTCCCCTTAGTTACATCGCTGGATACAGGGGACAGGGTCCCTTCTCTATAGAGCTGTTAAGTGTGACGTAATTCGAACGAAAAACGACTTTTGCTCTTCATAGCAGGATTTCTGTTCATATATATTTCATCGTCAAAGGTAGAGAATAAACCCTGGGAATAAGTTATGGCAAGACTTTAGCGATCTTTTTGGTTGGACTGGACCTGGAAATACGAGACAACTTAAAAACCCAATTTTCCAAAGCTAYAACTGATGTATTGTTTTTCTTTCTACGTACAGGATATTATATGTACATCGAGACCTCTACTCCCCGTCGACCTCGTGACAAGGCCCGTATGATCATGGAGGTCAGCCAGGACGTCTGCATGACTTTCTTTTATCATATGTATGGTGCTGATATTGGGGTCCTAACAGTCTATCAAAAAGAAGGCTCAAGCGATTACGCAAGAGAAACGGTTAAATGGAAAAAAGTTGGAAATCAAGACAACAGATGGAGTGATGCGTCTATTTCTTTTACAGCCAAAGGCAAAGGAAGTTACTGGGTAAGACTATTAACATGGAATGACTATCATTAATCCTTAACCACATTGTCTTGTCCATGTGTGGGAAGCATGGGTGGCGTAGCGGTGAGAGCGCTCGCCTCTCACCAATGTAGACCTCGCTCCGAGCAGTCCCTCTATTTCCCCTGGTCACTATCCGTCTGTCTGTCCGTGTCGATTGGCCGAGGAAGATTGGTTACGAGTCAAAAGTCTCTGGGGGAGGGGGCTAGGGAGGAAATTCTAATTCGATCTTGAAGGGCCTACATGAAAATTACTCAGTGTAATTCTAGTTACCTTGCCAAATTCAGTAGATTTTTATGTTTAGTGAAGCATCAGAAGGGCGAGAGTCCCTCTCTGTCCTTCATGGACAGAACAGACGTATGTTTAAGTGAAGATCAGAGACTGTACTACTGGCATCAGTACTTTTAAATCATTGGTCAAGATGTACCACCTATTATAATTGTATATACAACGTGTTTAAGTTAACTAGTTGCATTATTTTAGAATATGTACATTTCATAGTCTCATTTATTTATTTATTTATTTCATTTTTGTTATAGATTATTCATGTTTTTATTCATTTTTAGACTTATTGTAATGCGCATTTGAAATTTTCATTGCTTGATATTTGCGCACTATAAACAAAATTATTGGTTATTAATAAATTATGCATTAAATATGAATTAAAGCACCAAAACCTTTGAACATGAAATCGAACATTTGTACAAAATTTGGTGTTTTTTGAACTCATAACCAACAAGATACCGATGTTAGGAATGATTTTACCCCTCCCCTCCCCCTCCCCTCTCCCCTCTCCCCTCTCCCCTCTGGTAGCGTACGGCACCCCCTTGACCTCGTATCTCTTGACTCCCCCTCTAAAATCACTTTGAACATCAAAACGAACGTCTGTGCCAAATTTGCTGCTTTAATCCACTCTTTTAATCCACTCTGTCGCTATCAATGCGGGTTTGATTTTTTGCCCAGGCTCGGTGTCGTATGTGAGTAGAGTCGCTTTTGTCGGTTCTCCGAGCTATGTTTCGAGGGTTTTTCTCTGGGTTCTCCTCCCTCCTTAAGAATCAACTTCTAAATTCCAATTCGATCTTTGGGCTTTCACCTAGTTGGATCCAAGCCCTGTTGTGATTGTTCCAAGCTGCTCTACTCTTGGAATGAATACGCCCTGTTGTGATTGTTCCAAGCTGTGCCACAACCCTAGATTTTTATAGATTTTATAGAGAACCATGTTATGTAGGCCGGTAACATGGGATCGCTTATCTGACATAGAATAGTTTATAATCTGGTTTTGAACTTCCCTACTCTTTTTTTTCGCAGATCATCATCGAAGGCACGAGGGGGAGGAGCTACCAAGGTGACATTGCCATTGATGACATCACATTTAAACCAGGTCCTTGTGCAGGAAGATGGAGACAATATCAAAATCTCTCTTAAACTGAAATAGCAACACTTTCAAAGACTGCTGTAAACATGATCTGCGCCTGACTTATACAGTAGTTTTACTCGCCTTAAACCTTAATGATACTTGTATCAATCCCATACAAGCCACCACTAAAAATACCAAGCATCCCTTCAAACAACATTCGGAACCTAATACTCGAGTAATACTTCTCAAATTCTACTGATATGGATAAAACAAGATGTTTTCAATGCACTCACCACACATACTGTACTAAATATATTATCAATATGCGAGCATCAAATATATTGTATCATATACCAAATTTACTAACTCACATATATATATCAAGAAAACAAGTAACAACRAATATTAGGCCGGCTTAGGATAAGATTTAGCTGTCAATGGCAATCAATAATTATGAAGTTAAAGATTTGTCGCAATTTTTGTAAGAGCATTAATTACAGTTCAACTCGTAAGGTTATCGTAAAGTATTRTTCTAATTGAAAATAAACGAACAGCAAATGAACTTAATGATCTGATGCGACAAGGGTCATACATTCATAGTCTTACTTAGTCTAGTACCACATTTCACAGTATAACATTTCTCACTTGGTCCAGTACCACAAGGGCTGCACATGTACATTTCTCACTTGGTCTAGTACCACAAGGGTTGCACATGTACATTTTTCACTTGGTCTAGTACCACAAGGGTTGCACATGTACATGGCTCACTTGGTCTAGTACCACAAGGGTTGCACATG